TTTTTTTGTCAATGCCACTGTCTCCAGACCATATAACATAACTGCACTACAGCTCAGCACTGTTGCCTCACAGGTTTGCCTCCTGGGTTCAATACCTGGTTGGACCTGAGATCCTTCTGTGTGGAATTTCTATGTCCTTCTCGTGCTTGCGTGGGTTTTCTCTGGGTACTCCGGTTTCCTCCCAGAGACCAAACACATGCATGGGTTAATGATGGTCTCACCATGGTCCTGTAAACCTTTCCTTTAACCTTTGCTGACATCCTTTGGTTGCAGATCAATCCTGAAACTATTCTCCAGTGGTGAGATGTGCTATAGGAGTGACAGTTTCAAGGTGGAGGTGGGATTGCACCAAGGATTGGCTCTGAGCCCCTTCTTGTTTGCTCTGGTGATTGGCCAACTACCTGATGAGGTCAGGCAGATATCCCCATGGACACTGAAATTTGCAGACAGCATTGTGATCTGTGATGAGAAAAGGGAACAGGTGGAAGAGAACTCTGAGAGGTGGAGGTATGCACTTGAAAGAAGAGGAATGAATGTCAGCTGTATGACAGAGTATTGTATGGTATGTGTAGGGGAACACCACCTCAACTTAAACAGAAACAGTTCACTTCAACTTAAACAGAAAAAGTCACCTCACCTCAAACAAACATCATTCATGTGTTTGGTGATTTGAACTGTTTAAAACAAGATGCATCTATTCCCTTGGAAACAAACAGATTTTATTTTACAGGGGTTCAACTCAGCTTACAAACTCATTAGTTTACACTAATGTGAATGTAATAAAAAAAACCTGTCACTGTGTTAACCACTTTCAATATGAACTCATTTCCCACGAAACGAACAGATCGTTTTAATGAGGTTGCGGCTCAACTGACCTCGAAGTGAAACAACTGCCGAGACTTTAACTTTTATCAAAAGGAGTATTACTCCCTCGATGGTTTCCCATGGAGATAACAGTTTTAAAGAAACCTTTGTTTCATGAAATTTTCTTTCCAGGAGATGAACAGCGACACCTTTTGGATGAACATTGCATGTTATTTCAAAAGCTTCATAACTGAATGTTTGTTATTGAAAATGTCTGTTTAAGTAACCTCTCTTTAAGTTAATCATGTTTTATTTTTCTCCTTTTAAAAGAAGTGTGACTTTTTAAAGGCAGACCGAAAAAATGAACTGTGATTTTATAAAACATGACAAAGAGAGAGACCCTTCAACACATTTTCTGGTGATCATACATTCACAGTAATATTGCTTGATATACACCACAGTTAATTTAGACACAATTTTAACTACACCACAAACAAAACCAGTCCAAAATTCTGCCTTTTTAAAAGTTCCACTGATTTGAATAATCAAGTAAACCTTTGATACAAATCTATTTTGTTATTCATTTGTGTATTCATTTTTATGCATAATCTTCATCAGATATATCACAGATTATTATTTTTGTAATAAAATACATACAATCAACTAAATTTGTGATTATTTTGGCATATCTGTGTGTATTAACTGATTTTGAATGCCCTTTAAACACGATAAAGAACTCATAAGAGCACAAAACTTCCATCCATCCATTATCTTTACCCGCTTATTCCATTTTGGGTCACGGGGGTCGCCGGTGCCCATGTCCAGCAATCACTGTGCGAGGGGTGGGGTACACCCTGGACGGGTCGCAAGTCCATCACAAGGCCACATAGACACAAACGAGACAAACAACCATTCACTCTCTCACTCACACCTAGGGACAATTTAGAGTTACCAATCAGGCTAACATGCATGTTTTTGGTCTGTGGGAAGAAACTGGAGCACGCGGAAAAAACCCACACATGCACGGAGAGAACATGCAAACTCTACCCAGAAAGGCCCCTGGACCGGGGTTTGAACCAAGGAACTGCTCGCTGAGAGGCAGCAGCTCTACCAGTTGCACCACCCGAGCACGAAACTTAAGTCTGATTAATAATTTCTTGCTTCAGAACTAGAAGCAAGTGGTGCCCCTTCAGAATAAAATTACTAATAAAAATTCAATGATCTGAGGACCGTTTCCTCTACATTATATTGGTGCCTGCCACGTGAGACTCGTTAAAGAGCATTTTATGCAAATTATACACACAGAAAAGTATTTTCTACGCTGGTTTTGTTGAATTTGAGCATAAAACTGTGTTTTAAAGCTGTTTCTTTCTCTGTTCTCTGTCTGCTACAAGCTGCGTTTCTCCGTCTGCTCGAAGCTGCATGTCTGCGTGTGTGTGTGTGTGTGTGTGTGTGCCTCTCCGTGAAAAGGTGGGGGGCCACACTGCTCAGACTGCGCCTGCTTTTCCATTTAAAATAAATATGTTGCATGCATTTTATAACCAAATGAGTAAAGCTGATTCAAACCCAAAGGCTTGAGGATCTGATCAATCCAGTTTTCAAAATTTTAATTGAATATTTTAGATGTTAAACCGCAACAAATGGTAAATCTAAAATATCACAGTGGTCTTCGTTAGCTAAGTAATCGCTAACGGCCTGTTTAATGACACTTTAAAAAGGTAAAAAGTCCAAATCTGATTCACTAAGGCAAATCGACAGAGTTGCGTCTTTATAGTGAAAATTTAACGATGAAAAATCTGTTTGTAAACGTCCCAAAATTGTGTTTTTTTGGATCGGTAATAACAGCTAAGCTGAGAAGCTAAATTAAGCTAAGAGGTCCACTCCGGCAGAACCGGCGTGTCCAGCTGAGACTCACGCTGTGGGGTACGTCATGGATTTGTGGGGAGTGTGGCAGATGATGTGTCTCTCAGTCCTGTCTCAGGAGGATGTTGAAGACATTTACATATTTGGAATTATGATAGCAGGGACTCTGCTTTTTGGCATCGGCGGGGCTCTGTTTTATCGACTTTTGAAGAAGACGGCGGGAGCAGTTTCGGCCATGGAAAAGCTTCCGAGTCAGTGTGAAGGACGGGTCCTCGCTGTGGGAACTTTAAATTGTCTGGTTTACGAGCTTAACGGTAAGGTGGAGGCGATTGAGAATTGCAGGCCACCTGCGGCTTCTGGGACTCGTCAGCGTGATGGGTTCGACCTTGAAGGAGACTCATAACATGGATCAGTGGAATGGAATCCCACAATTAGGCATTTTCTGAACCAGAACGCCCAGATGGACTCAAGGTTGAAGAAAAAAGTTATCTCTGCCTGAAGAAAAACAAGAATCAAGCTTATCTAAATCTGACTCCCGACGGCCTCGGAGACAGGCCGACTATCAATTTCTC